ATCGTGATGGTGGTCTACGGAAGCGTGTTCTGCATTTCAAACATTTTTAATTAAAAAATGGTTCTCAGATCTGGTACTCTGAATTCTCCATCTTTTGCGTCATTTTGTGACTTCATGGTTTGTTCCACATGTAAATATAAATAAGCTGAAGTTGAATTAAATCTTATGTATAGGTCAAAACTCTTTAAAAAGGAAAATTAAACYACCGTAGTTAAAATAAAGTGGGAAATATTGCCATTATAAAAAATCTATAAAATATCATTGATGGACTCCAGCGTCCGATGGTTGATCTGTTCATCACCCAGCCCTATCATAATGATGTATAAATCACTGAAAGCCAGTCCTAATCAATAGAAACCCCCACTCTGTATCTTTTGTATCCTCAGATGCTTTTCCACAGTTGACCGGCCTGATCCCGGCTGCTGTAGCCACACCCTCTGGTGCCCCGCCCCGCCAGGCTGTGCGGCCTTGGACGAAAGATTTCAGCTTTTATGAAGAATATAAGCTCCGCAGGAACGAGCTGCGGCGCCGAAACCTCACCAGGCGCAGGGAACTGGAGAAAACGTTGCCTCAGCCTCTGCTGGCAGATCTTGTGAGTTGACTTCTAAGTGCTGGAGACCGAAATATTTAACATTTTGTTTGATGAGCGTGTTGTGTTTAAGGTGCGTGAGCGTCGAGAGAAGACCAGACTGAGGGTAGCCAGATGGAGGGCAAAGAGGAAACTCCAGGCCTGCCTGAACCAGAGTCAGGTCACTGAACACTTGTCTTCAGACCACAATAGATGACTAGAACCTGAATCAGTAGATCATCTCTGTCAAAAAAACATCTAGAAAAGTTACATTTTTAGGTTTCAGGAATGCTTGGGTATAAAGCTTCACAACGAATGCTATACAAGAAAAAAACAACTATTCCACTTTTTGTCCAATTAAAATCAATCCATTTTAGTCTAAAACAGATTCACATTCAAATCCAGTTATGATCAAATCAATCCAAGTAAGCAGTGGGGCGCACCAGCCCGCTAAAGCACAAATCCGCTAATTTCAGACCTAAATATTTCGTTTGCGCTTTAGCRGTYTTACTAATTTTTATAATTCATAAGCAGATATGCGCTTTCTAAAATTAAAATACAGTACCGCTAATAACTAATTATCTACCAGTTTTCATTATCTTGAACAGTATGGCTGTCAATGAATCACAACAGACGTGATCTATCCAAC